AGCAAACTTGCTGAGGGTGCACTCCATCCCTTCATCCAGGTGGTTGATGAATATATTGAATAAGACTGGACCCAGTACTGACCACTGGGGAACACTACTTGTTACAGACCTCCAACTAGATTCTGTGCCTCTGGCCACAACCGTCTTAGCTCTGTCTTTCAGCCAGTTTCCAACCCACCCCACTGTTCGTTCATCTAACCCACACTTCCTAAGCTTGCCTATGAGGATTCCGTGTGAGATGGTGTTGAAAGCCTTGCTGAAGTCAAGGTAGACAATGTCCACTGCTCTCCCTTCATCTACCCATCTGGTCGTGCCCTCGTAGAAGGCTATCAGGTTGGTCAGGCATGATTTTCCCTTGGTGAATCCATGTTGACTACTTCTGATAACCTTCTTTTCCTCCACATGTTTTGAAATGACCCCCAGTATGAGCTGTTACATCACCTTTCCAGGGATGGAGGTGAGGCTGACTAGTCTGTAGTTTCCTGGGTCATCCTTCTTGCCCTTTTTGAAGACTAGAGTGACACTGGCTTTCCTCCAGTCCTCAGGCACCTCTCCTGTTCTCCAGTATGTTTCAAAGATGATGGCTTGGCAATGACTTCTGCCAGCTTCCTCAGCACTTGCAGGTGCATCCCATCAGGACCCATGGACTTGGGGATATCCAGTTTATTTAATTGATCTCTAACTTGATCTTCCTCGATCAAGGGAAAGTCTTTCTTCCTCCAGACTTTCTGTTACCTCCAAAGTCTGGGACTCCTGAGGGCTGGCCTGAGTAGTAAAGACTGAAGCAAGGAAGTCATTAGGTAACTCTGCCTTCTCTGCATCCTCCATCACCATGACACCTGCCTCATTCAATGGCAGGTTCACATTTTCTCTGGTTTTCCTTTTGCCTCCGATATACTTGAAGAAACTCTTCCTGTTAACCTTGACATCCCCTGCCAGGTTTAACTTGAAGGAGGCCTTGGCTTTCCTCGTTTCATCCTGGCATGTGCTGACAGCATTCTTGTAATCTTCCCAAGTGGTCAGTCCCTTCTTCCACGTACTGTAAACTTCCTTCTTCCACTTGAGCTTTTTCAGAAGCTCCCTGCTCAACCAAGCAGGTCTCCTGCCTGATTTATTGCTCTTACGTATACACCAATCCTGAGCTTGGAGGAAGTGGTACTTGAATATCAACCAGCTCTCTTGAGCCCCCTCGCCTTCCAGAGCCCTGGCCCATGGGATTTCTCTAAGCAGTTTCTTGAAGAGGTCAAAGTTAGCCCTCTTGAAGTGCAAGGTTGCAGTCCTACTTGTTGTTTTGTGCCTAGTACCCACCATCCTGAACTCTGTCTTCTCATGATCACTACAGCCAAGGCTGCCCCCAACCTTAGTATCCTCCACCAGACCTTCTTTGTTTGTCAGTACTAGGCCCAGTAGTACACCTCTCCTTGTTGGCTCCTTCACCACCTGAGTCAAAAACTTATCATCAGTACACTGGAGGAACCTCCTGGACTGTGTATGCTTGGCTGTGTGGCCTTCCTAGCATATATAACCAAGGCCTGTGATTGTGAGGCTACTTTCAGCGGTGTGTAGAAGGCCTCATCAACTTCTCCATCCTGATCAGGTGGCCTGTAATAAACACCCACAACAGTGTTTCTCACATTAGCCTGCCCTTTAATCTTTACCCACAAGCTCTCCACTTGCTCTTCATCTGCCCCCAGGGAGAGCTCAATACATTCCAGTTGCTCTCGCACATAAAGAGCAACTCCACCACCTCGCCTTGCTGGCCTGTCTTTCCTGAGAAGGACATAGCCACCCATGACAGCATTCTAGTCATGTGAGCTATCCCACCATGTCTCACTGTAGTGCCTCTGTCTAAGATTTACCTCATCGTGCTGTGCTTTGTAGTGGTAGCTAGAAAGGTGTTGATAACACAATGGTGTTTTGACTGCTGCTGAGCAGGGCTCATACAGCATCAAGGCTGTCTCTCCAACATTTCCCCAATTGGTTGGGGGTGGGAAGAATCCTGGGAGGGGATATAGCCTGGACAGCTGACCCAAACCCACCAAAAGGATATTCCATATCATATGACGTCTACTCGGCAATATAAGCTAGGGGAAAAGAGGAGGAAATAAGTTGGAGGTGCATTCATTTTACGTTTAGTTTTTCTCCAATGCCTGTAAAGGCACCCTAGGGTGAGTAGACCAGACATTATATATGGGTCTTACGACAGATGAGGTGAATCCCAAATTTTGTATTGGGAAGCTGGGATGAAGAAACTTAGAATCATAGAATCATTAGGTTGGAATAGACCCCTAAGATCATCAAGTCCAACCGTTACCACCATGCCCCCTAAACCATGTCTACAAGTGCTACATCAACATGTTTCTTGAACACCTCCAGGAATGGTGACTCCCCCACTTCCCTGGGCAGCCTGTTCCAATGTTAGACTGCTCTTTCGGTAAAGAAATTTTTCCTAATGTCCAATCTAACCCTCCCCTGGTGCAATTTTCTTGTCCTATCACTAGCCACTTGAGAGAAGAGACTGACCCCCACCTCACTGCAACCTCCTTTTGGGTAGTTGTAGAGAGCAATAAGGTCTCCCCTCAGCCTCTTCTTCTCCAGAATAAACAATCCCAGTTCCCTTAGCTGCTTCTCATAAGACCT